GATGTATATTTTCTAGGGTGTTAATATATATTTACATTTCATCCAAAAAAAAGGTGCTTCGGTAGTCGGATGAGAAATTAGAAAATGCCCTATTGCTGACCGATTGTTGATTTGCCTCAATTGCCTATTTCTAACTTTTGCCATTCAATTTCAGACCTTGCTGAACAGCCTGGACTGTTGGGGCCTTTTGTATTCCAATCATGGTTTTAAATAGTGGTTGGGGTTGCGGTCGCGGTCACTGCGGTTGCGGCTAATGCGGTTGCGGTCACTGCGGTTGCGGCTAATGCGGTCGCTACGATGTGTATTGCAGCCGCTGTGGCGTGAATTTTTTCAATTTCGCACATAATTAAAATATAACGTTTCCCCCCCATTTTAACTAATCTTCGACTACATATTAATTACATTTAACATTTTTTGAATTAATGATTGATAAAATCAATAGGACAATTATGAATACTTGTAGAAGTACTTATTTGTAAACAATGAGACCTATTAGAATATGACAATTAAAAGTAAATAATGATTAGAAAAAAAACTATAAATCAAATAATCATTACACACAAAATTATATTTTTTAAGCAAAATAGTTTTATTTTTTAAAACTAGTATGTACCTACTATATTAAAATCAGGCCCCACCATCAATATTAGATTTCTATCTTGTATTCTTGTCTGGATTCGTTCAAATATGACATCCATACACTTTACTACTTAATTTAGTGTCTATTTTAATTTAAAATGAATATTGCTAAGCCCAAAAATAAGTGGCCCAATATCTTAAATACTCTATCTTCTAAGCAAAGGGCTAGAGGCATGATCGGACTCCTTCGAGCATCTTCTATTTTCTTCTTCCGGGAGTCTTCTTCTACGAGAAGTCTTGAAATTCAGGTGGTTACGAGTAATGACACCTTTGATATGGTGCCAATCTGGCCAGATGTAGGCAGAAGCGGCGGGATGCGGACGAGAAGCGACTGGTTGCGGCGGGATGCGGACGGAAAGCGGCCGAATGCGGCCTGTTGCGGTGTTGTTGCGGTTCCATCGCGGTTTTGTTGCGGTCGTTCTTCGTGATTCGATTTCGCACCGCTATAGCGGTCTAATGCCGTTACCGCAATATTGCGGCCGCTATTTGTGTTGTGGTCCGCTTTTTGAAACTATGATTCCATGTACTCACATTATTACTAAATAGTAAATACTAATCACTTTAGTTTTTCTAGCCCCCCCCCCCCCCCCCCGGGCATGTGAGGCCCAATGCAAGTGCCTGGCCTTACTGCACCATAGCCGCCCTGGTAAGGTACTCTGCCATAAAGCAGAGGATCTCAATCCCTCTCCAACGCTTCAAATTTGCGACAAGTTCCATTTATACCAATTTTAAAAGAGAAGATTTCTTAAATAGAATTAAAACAATGATAATTATGTCGATGAGAAACAACCTTCATTTCTGTTGAGTTAATGGCCCAATTAGAGGATCGGCCCATTTAACCCCTCCATGGATGAACGTCTAAGCCCAACAGGGGTATTGAGGGCAGACGATCGTCTCCATGGACCAACAACAGTTATCCATCAGTGCCCAATGTAGCTGAGACATACGTCTCCATCTAGAGGCCTCAGCTCAAAGAGTCCTAACCCAAGGCTAGCCAGCTTACTCCAACGCCAATAGCCAGAAGACGCACGGTGTCCCGCCCTTTGTGGCATCACCAAGAACAGATCCAAGACTCACGGGGACGCTCGTCCCCATAGATTGGGCAGGAAACCAAGATTCTGGCGGGGAGCGCATTTATTGCTAGAGATTTGATGGTTGAAGCTTAAGCCATCCACAGCTCTCCATGACAACATATTCACCTACCTCTTGGCAGTATAATAGTAGCATTTATTTCATTGTAAAGGGTTGGCAACTTTTACGCCTTATCATTCTTATAGCTTATAGCATCATTCACAGCTCCCCGACTTGTGAAGCAGATGAACGGCCATCGGCCAGTAGCATTGGTGCAGTGTAACGAGACCTTATTATCATATAATAACACTCGGCCCACTATTGCTTACATTTTTTAAGCCCATCTTGCTTGCTGTTTCCCCGTATTCACATACACTCACCGCTCGAAACCCATATGTTACATGTTGGGCCTACAGGTTGAAGGAATAAATTAAACCTCAACAATTTCATTCCTATAACCAAAAACTTCTCTAAAGTTTTTGAAAAGCAATTTTCGTGATTCATCATTCTTAGTGTCAACAACCGAAAATGCAAGTGGGTATCTTACCACATGCATCTTATGTTGATGTAGTTAATGTGCCCCCATATCTTTCCATCACAAATGTTCCATCATCTACTATAATCAGTCTATAAAATTTTCACACCTAAATTAATGCATCAATTGTCATGAAGACATATAAGAACGACTCCATTAACCTTAGTTCCATAAATGCATAGGGCTCTTTATATTTTCATCTAAGCTTATGTGATGCCTTTTCTTTTGCTCTCTATGCTTTTAGGTAGCTTAATACCCTGACCCTGCAGCATCCAACACAGTTCTTTCTACACACTCTCTAGATCTAGTACTGTCTTCACAAACCGGGCACAAACCAACATGAGTCATTTACCGTGCACTTTATTCTCATTCATGCGAGCCCTGGGCAACTTCTCAGGGGGTCACTCACCCCAAAACTACTCTCGTGCAAGCACGCTTAACTTACAGTTCTTAGGTGATGAGTTTCCTTTAAAAGGAGATGTACCGTGTTGATATGAGTAATACTATTAATTCTTTTAAATGAATCCAAATATTACAACCACCCTCACTTATGAACGTAACGTCCTCGTTGCACCAATAAATTAACCTCAATTGAACACAAGAATCCTCCCTTGTTAAGTGTCTGCCTGATACCCAACAATCATCACATTGTTGCACGGTTGCTTTGATACAACATGTAACTACATTAGGCCCCACGGGGTCAAAGTGTTATAATAGACATCTAAAATATCACTCATTACACATTTTGGTTTAAATATACTCCCTCTGTCCCGGAAACAAGTTCCCATTTTCCTTATTTGAATGTCCCAAAATAAACTTCTCATTTCCTTATTTGGCAAACAGTGCAAAACAGTGCCAAACAGTGTCAAAATAGTAAACTTTACCCCTCAGTAACTTTATTTCCTTAAAATGTGTGAAACTCAATCCTGGAACTTGTTTCTGGGGCGGAGGTAGTATATATTAAGATTTGGGGGATTATTCTAAAAAGGTCAACCTAATAGAGGACTAGATCAATGATTTATTTGTTGATTTATATTTCAATCTATAACTGGTGTGGGACAACTTAATATGTCGTCATAAGATGGTGAGACATTAGAGCATACTACATACCAATCTTGTAATCCGTGTGATCGTTGTTGAGGCTTACCCGGATCTAATTCTTTGTTGGAGCTTAATTTGCTCTGATAAGATATTAAGATATGAGGTACTATCCTTAAAGGTCAACCTCATAAAATAAATAATCCAATATTTTATATATTGGTTTGTATTTCTATTCACAATCGATGTTGGATTGCCTTTGAGGTCAATCAAATAGGAGAAATAACTCAAAGTTTTATACTTGTGAGTATATGGGATGCTGATGGAGGCCTACGTATTGAAAAAATTTTTTTGTTTGGAGGGGGGGGGGGGGTGGGGGGCATCAATGAGCCATTTGTTAATCATTTTTGTTTTTATAGCAAAAAACAAACACAGTAACTAACTTTTTTAAAATAACTAACGAAGAACTTTCTTTGTTGCTCCTTCAAAGGACAAGGATTAAGAGAAAGAGAATGAACCTCCAAATCCCCTGGCTGCTGTCACTGCCGCCGCCGGCATCTCTCTGGCGTGCGGCGGGATTTGCTTGTTCCTTTATTGGAAGATGCATAAGGAGGAACAAGCTGGCGTAATTGATCTGAGAAGCTAAAGAGCTTTGGAGCGGCGGCTCTTGCTGCTAAGAAAGCATTTGACGTCATCAAACAGATGAAGCTTCCCTTTTCAGAGGATAAATGAGTCTCGACTTTATTCAGCACTTTATCAATAATTGTTTTTAGGTGCACTTGGACATCATCAATTGCTGTTTTTGCTGTATATTGTTTTCAAGAACTTTATGGATGCTTTCTTTGCTGATAAAATGAAAAAAATTGTTTTGACTGAGATAAGAACTCCTGTAAATATAATATTGTTTCTTCTGTCAATATATTTTTTAGTTGATAAATGTTTTCTTGAATGTTAATTGAACGCTAAATGGAGAAGGTATCTTCCAAAGGCATCAAGATAAGGAGGTCAGTTGTGGTCAAATTTGAGTTTTTCCCTTTTCTATCCCTATAAAAAAAACTGCAATTTCAGCACCCTCTCCTCAATGGAGTTACTTGTTATCATCTTAACCACCATGACTTCTTGCCCTATCATCTGTCTATGTGTGTGTGTAATATATACACATATATATACACATATACACATATGTGTATATTAAGATTTTGGGGTTCATTGTATATATATATATATGTATATGTATATATATATTTACAAAAATACATCCCTTCTAGATTTTTTCGTCCCATAAAAGTCATATTTCAACAAAAGAAGTTATCCTTCATTGAGTGGTTTAAAGAAAAAATCTACAAAGTTATATTGGATTATTCCTAATCAGAGGAAGAATAACCTACTAATGGGGCAGCCAGGGACTGTCTACGCTTGAGAATAACTTTGTAAGGCAGTTTCTTGGAGCTCTCCGAGTATGGTTGTCGTGCTGGTTTCAGCGCTGTTTTTCTAACCTCATATTATGGTTGCTTGGTGGTGTTCAATTCCATTTTGAACTGCTGCACAGATGTATCATCATCTTGAGACGCCTGCTGCTGCTACTTCCGCGATGCTAAATCGTGCCCTTCTTCATACTCTGCACTATAGTAGCCCTTATATCCATCATTTTTGAACTTTTTGACTCTCCTCAACTCCTAAAAGGAGTTGAGGAGAGAAGTCTTCCCCTTGTGTGATTGTGGTGCCATTTCTGGCCTGCTGCAGCTGCATTGGAAAAAAATGGTGAGCCTTGATATTCCATATTCCAAAAAGAATGGTAAGCATCAACATAAACGTTTCTATATTCTCCATATAGCGAAACAATCTGAAATTTGGCAGAAGTTTCCATACTCCAAAAAGAATTGTCAGCCTTGAAATGCATGATCAACATAAATGTTTCCACCCATCATATCAGATGAGCGAAACATTCTGAAACTTGGCAGAAGCATTTCCATATTCCAAAAAGAATGGTGAGCCAAATTCATGATGAGCGAAACAATTTGAAACTTGGCAAAAGCATTTCCATATTCCAAAAAGAATAGTGAGCCAAATTCATGATGAGTGAAACAATATGAAATTAATTTGGGGCAGCAGAGAGGGCAGTCGCCGGAGAAGGAGCCGTGGGGCAAGAAATGGCCGATTCCCACGACCCCCCCCCCCTCTCTCTCTCTCTCTCTCTCTCTCTCTCTCTCTCTCTCTCTCTCTCTCTCTCTACCTCCACCTACCTTCGATCTTATTCCAAACGTGAAGTCTGAATCGGTGAATGGGGGTTCATTGTATATATATGTATGTATGTGTGTGTGCGTGTGTGCGCGCGTGTGTGTATATATAACCAAGCATTCCAGCTCAGCTGGTTGTGAGGTTACCGTGCCTAGTGGGAGGTCTCAAGTTCGAAACTTGCTAGACACATAAGAGTTCGAAACTCAATAGAATGAGTTTCAGCCCTGATTACTCTAGGCCCCCCAGACCCCTTGGAGTAAAAAAAAATAGTAGCAAAAAAAGTGGAGTTTAAATATATATATATAACGCAGTTATCTTCCAAAAATCGTTTGGCTGTCTTCCCGATTGAATTGTTTTCTGAAATTTGGTATGGATGTACTAGACTTGAAGACGAACATGCTCAAAAAATTTCATCGAAAAATTCCACCGGGAAAGCCCTCAAAACGTGGAGACCGCACGGCGGCTCCGGTAAGGTATACCTTACCGGAAGGATTTCCTATATATATATATATATATATATATTAAGATTTGGGGGTTCATTGTAAAAGGGTCAAACTAACAAACTAGACCAAGAATTTATTTGTTGGTTTGTATTTCTATTTATAACTGGTGTGGGGCAACTTAATATGCCTCCACAAGATGGTGAGTCATTATGTGACACCGCACCCGAAAGTCCTTGAAAATTCAATTTAAAGTTTGAATTAAATGTATCGAATTTCCGATTTCCAAACAATTGTAAAACGGTTAATGTTTTACGTAGTGCATGATTGAATATCGTACTGTTCAAACTTGTATATTAGTGTCGGGTTTTGCAAATACTTATTCGGGACTTATTAATAAATAAAGGATCCCAACATTATCTAAATAGCGATACATAATCTTTCAAGACAATTTGAGGAAGGTCGGGCGGCCCAAACATTATTTTGGGCCCAACCTGCTAAAAATAGCAAGTATTCGAGAATGGCATCCTAGACCACCCACTCGGGAGTGACCCACACGGCTAGTAGCCCAATAATATGTATGACAAATGTCAAAATAAGTGATAGAATGATTAAAGAAGAATACAAATGTCTATGGTCCCATCTTTGACATTATGGAGCTAAATAATGGGAGTAGGGTTTTTCTTCTATAATATTCATCACATGAATTATTGGGATGATCCTACACATATTAGGAATCAATGATATGATGTAGGAAGTTAACTTGTTCTAAATAAATTAGGATGAGTACAAAAAGACATCTTTTGACAAAAGATTAAACAATAGGACCCATTCTTCCATTTTTGGATGTATTAGTTAATATTTTGCTCCCAAAATAATTGGGGAACAACATGCTGCGCCCCATCTCTTCCTTCCACCTGCAAGACAAGAAAAATAATGTTAGGAGGCTGCCATAGCTGACTTTGGGGGCTGGACTTGACAAAGGAAGCAAGAGGGAACCCCACCTAGCCTATTTTCGCACAAAAGGGATGGTGCTGGTTGTCTCCCTCCATGAGTGATGTTATGCTCGACCAAATAAGGTGAATGAGGTGTCCTTGGATAGCCTTTGAAGTCTAGTTTCTTATTTGAGTGGTCTCTGTTCGAGAAGGGAGAGTTTATCCCACAAAAACCGAGCTGGAGTGAACTGCTGTCTGTAAACTCGAGCAGTGAGAGTGCTGAAGCTGTTTGGTTGATATCTCGAGTTATACCAATCCAATTAAGGCGAGTAAGATACGAAAAGAAAGCTCTCAAGACGAGGAATCCGTGAAGGTCTGGTTTGCATCAATCGGAGTAGTGGAAGGCTTCCAAATCGTCTGAGCAAAACGCAACCTCGCAGAAACGGATCCACACTTCTAAAGAAACGAGTTAACCGGAAAACACCCATCCTAGGGGCTGTTTTTGTATCGACGATTAGGGGTTGAACTAGCACTTTGAGGAAGCTGTTTAACACTCATTTATAAGCAAGGAATCAGTTCTCAAGTTTCCTTGGCCGAGGCTTTTGTCATTGGATCGAGAAGGAAAGTTTTGCAAGCTCATTTGAGGTGAGGATTGACATCTAATTGCTTACAACTTGTAGGTTAAGCATGAGATTACCTAAATGCTTAAATCATGATTTTTCATGGATTATGATGATTATATATTGATGAAATATTGATATAGTTGCCAAAGAATGAAATTTGAAATGATTTGAGAATGTATGAATAATATGAGATTAAATGAGTATAAATGAACTATTTTGTGAAATAGGCATTTTGCTCATGTATGAATTATGTGGATACGTAAATGAATATTTGTGTATTGAGATTGAATACTTAAGTTGCTGCTACATAATTATAAATATGTAGAGAATTACAAATAATGAGGATAATGGTATGACAACAATAATCTTAATAGTATGGAAATACTAGTTAGTGATTATTAGAACTTGTTGATTAAATTGATCCTAGGGATTGGATTGTATGAAAGGTACTTGAATATAGTTCAAGTGTATATAATAACTTAGTATGGAACTAAGGTTAAGTTATGGGAAGTCTTTAAGGATGACTCATGGTAGTTTAATGATATGTCAATTCTAGGCATAGGGTTGCTTGAGAATTGGACCTTAATGCATGGTGATGTGATAGAGCCGAGCTCTAGAATGCATGTAAGGTGTAGACTTGGAGTCTATGTATTGTATAGCTAGAGCCGAGCTCTAGGACTTGCGTGGTGATGTGATAGAGCCGAGCTTTAGAACGCAAGGTAAGGAAATTGACCCGCGGTATATGAATTGTATGGTGATGTGGTAGAGCCGAGCTCTAGAATACAATGTCATGTACTAGGGTTGGACTCTAGGAGTTGTCGTGGCTTATAGTCACGGGGTTGGGAATGGTGATTTCCAAATGAACACGGGCCCACGGGCCGACTACTTGACTTTTACATAAAGTAAGTATATTTTTAAACGGGATAACTTAGGGTTACAATCATAATGTACTATCACCCTATTTGAGGGTCTTGTGTTTGAAATACTTGTTGTATATCTATTAGATGCCTGCCACACCAGTACTTTATAGCCGTATAGAGTACTGACCCCTTCGGGGGCGTCCCACCACCATTTCAGGTTGAGGCTTGAGCTTGCATCTTGTGCTCGTTGATCGAGTGAATCCGCGGAGAGAAGACTTGGTTCGTGCTTCCTCCATTCTATTTGAAACATTAACAAATTTGCTCATGGATATTTTATTATAGAGCCTGCGTGCTCATGAATAGCCCTGTGTGGCCCTTTTGTTTTAAACAATGTTTTCCGCTGCTTTATGAATTACTTATCATGTTGTTTATGGATGGTTTATGTGTGAATGATATTCAAGACGCTTTGTATAATATGAATGTGTTGAACTGCGGTTGACTATTCGTATTGTACGGCGGGTTGTTGACGTGTCCGGGGAGGTCCGGGGCGTGACACATTAGATCATACCAGTCTTGTAATCCGTGTGATCGTTGTTGAGGCTTATCAGGATCTAATTCTTCGTTGGAGCTTAATTTGCTCTGATAATATATTAAGAGTTGAGGTACTATCCTTAAAGGTTAATCTAATAGGAGAAATAACCCAAAATTTATATATTGGTTTTTGTTTCTATTGACAACCGATGTTGCTTGTCTTTGAGGTCAATCTAGCTAGTAGGAGAAATAACCCAAAGTTTATATATGTGAGGAGTATATGGGCTGGTGATGAAATAACTCAAAGTATTATAACCTAATAGCAAAAAACAAACACAACATTTGACATTTATCACTACAAGAAAAAGATTTAACACCACGGTATAATGACGACTCTAACAAATCATCGTTAAACAACTAATAAAAGTGACCACATATAACGACTAATAAACAATTCGTCATTACATAGTTTATTTTTAACGACCACATATAAAAGTGATAGATATTAGTATGTAAATTGTTGTTTTTTGTAAGTGATTTGTTTTATTTATATGTTTTTTAAAATAAATGAGGATAAAAAATTGAAAATACAAGTAAAATTTAATATTGCCCAAAAATTTTGAAGCACAAGGTTAGTTTGAATTTTGAGTGCTTTTAATTTTGTAGGTTACATTACACGCTACTTAGGCAATTTTAGGGTTGCCGCTCACATTCAATCAAAACTATCAAATGGTCCGTCTTCCCTAAGTTTATCGAATCCATCCTCTCGGTCAAATTATGTTGTCGCAAGTGAATTATGCAGAGGGTTGAATCAAAACTATCATATGATTGCTGGATTTTCCCCAAGTTTATCAACTCAGCCCTCTTGCTCGAATTAGGTTGCCGCACGTAAACTTTGCAGATGATTCAACCAAAACTAACAGATGGTTGTCTGATTTTCCTCAAGTTAATCGCTCAGTCTTGTCGCTCGATTGCTAAATTTCGTTGCCCTAGGTGACTTTAATGTTTAATATTCATTATCCTCATAATTTTTTATCAGTTTTTCGCCAATCTATATGGTTTCGTATAAACTATTTTCGAAATCAAATGAATATAGTGGATTTGCTTCAAATATACAAATTCTTTTTTGTTCTTTTCTTCTCCTTGTTCTCTTGTTCGATTAATTTTTTCCTTTTCCACTTGATTTAGTTCTTTGTCTCTAATGGATTTTTATTTATTTCATAAGCTTATCGGTGAGATTTGCTCCTTATCCTCTAATAATAAGAATTATATGATGTCATTGTTTTTATTTTTAACAAAAACTTGTGGTTCGATGAAAATACATAAGTTTAGTTAGATTTTTTTTGTATCCCATGCCTAACATGAGATTATATGATCAGGACCGTAGATGAGGGCGTGCAAAGCGTGCCTCTGAACAGGGCCTCAAAATATATAAGACCCATTTTTTTGTAAAATCTATATAGTGTATATATAGGGTAATTATTTTTGAAAATAGTTGATTACTTTATTTGAGCGAATGATCTAACTATTCAGGTTATCCAACCAAAGGTAAAAAATTCACTTTCTCTTATCCTATTTTCATTCGTTCATTTCCGATTTTAGATTTTTTTACTAATTTTATTT